CCCCCAATGCTTTATTCATCATTCTTTTAGTTCTGGTCAAATTTGATTTGGAAAAGTACAAGTCAAAATGTGGAGCTTGGTAGCAAAAAATGTGGGAAGAAATGTGCACATAAAATGGCATTTCAGCATGTTACTAGTTGTCTTTTTCTTTCCAGCAGTAATACTGATGTGGTTTGGTTTGGTTTGGTTTTTAGACCTCAGAGTAGTTTAAGAGTATGGTTCCTGCTAGCAAATTTTTAATTGCTCTGTAGCATTTCAGATCCTTATGCTCTGTTTCCATAGGAACAGCAAGATATTTAGTACACAAGACTTTCTGAAATCATTTTGTTGTTTTTTGCCTTTTAAAATGTAGATAATTGCCATCTATGTCACGGTAATTATTAAGCTAAATCACTGTATTTGCAGAAAACCAAAGAGAGTGCAGAAAGATGACAGTGATGGCTTTTTTGGACCTGTTCTTCCTCCTGGATTTAAAAAAGAGGATGATTCTCCAGAGAGGTAATTAAAATGGAATAATATTCTGGCTCCTCTCCTTAAAACATAATTATTTTAGATAAAATATTTTGTGGCTCTATTACTGAACACTTCAACTGTACACCTGAGAGTTATGTGATTAGACTCCTTCCTTCACATTGTTCAGAACAACAGCAGTGTTCCTTTGAAATTAAGTACAAGAGTCCCCTAGTACCCTATGGAAAGTTGGAAAGAAAAGAAAAATATGACAACTGTATGATCATATTTTGAATTTCACATTTCTTTCATCTCAGATTAATCTTGAAAAGAGTGTGCATTCAAAATATTAATTGCTGTATATTTATTGGTTTGTTTATGCTTCTTGTCTAATATCATAGTGGTCTTTTCAAGCCTACATTGCAGTGAACTCTTCAGGTACAGAAGATGACCTAGGCCTGTTACTGGACTAGTTATTCTGTTGGTGCATTGTGATGACTGATTTTTTTTCCATACTGATATGTAAACAGGGTTAAATGTATTTGTTAAAATACATTGTTTTTAGCCTCTTTGTCAAAAACAAAGCCCATTCAGCCGCACACAATTAAAAAATACCTGTTGAAGAAAGCTAGTTCTTAATTTCGTATTCAGAATTTGTTGACGGCATCTGACAGCCCTGTACTCTTGCATCGATCTCTATGATTAATAGTGTAATACAAAATGCTATTCTGTACTCAGTCGCTACTTTTAAGATGACATTCGTAGATTCCACTGTAACTTTCATTGGTCTTGTAGACTTGCATTTTTTCATCTTTGCTGTTTTCTTCCCTAGGTGCAATAAGAATCAGTAGATAAAATGAGCCAATGTATACCTGTCATTTCTAGGAAGATGAGCCCATCTTTTGCTAAACAGTTCTGGGTATTGCTTTACCAACTGCAATAAGTTCTGTAATTGAATGTGTGTTGAGTCGAATAGTGAAAATTCCTAAGTATTAAGAAATAAGATATTTTCTTCTCTGGATTTAAATGTATAATGCGGTAAAATTGTCTTCACATGTGTAGTTTAAAAGAAGTAAGATAAATAGTTGAGTGACAACAATGGCTCATCCGTGCAGTTATGTCAATATAACATACAACATGTCAGCACTTATTTCCATTAGAAAGGTCACTACCTTCTTGCCTCCTGAATTTCTGTTCACAAAGCCTTTCTGCTGTGATATCTCAGAGAAATCAGGCAAGCTTCTGTAGGTGGGTTGGGCAGCATTTGGGGAAAGTGGGTTTTATTTATAATTTTCTAAACTCTTTTGGGGTTTTATAAAACCATCATTTAGATGACCTATGGATTTGTTGCCCTTTCCACAGGAGTAACTAGGAATTTTGGGACTGTTGACAGGAAGGTTGGGACATGCTGAGTGACCAAGAGTCTTGCATCCCCATAAATAGGCTACCGCTGCCACGATATGGGCTGAGTTCAGTGGGAGCAGCCATTCTGGTTACCCCCTCTAAATCGGCACCCAGAGCTGATGCCCCACTTACCCACACCTAGTTACACTACTGGCCCTCCTTCTCCCAGATTTAGTTTGTCAAAGTCATTTTTATTTGTACAGAATCTGGCATGTTTGGCTCCTTGGATATTATCACAGTAATAAATATCTGAAAAAAAGATTTATACGTACAAAAAATATTTAGCCATATAAATATTGTATATAAATATACAAGCATAAGATTACAACAATGGATCCTGAGAGCTTTATCAGGATTAGGCCCACAGCAAGGAGAAGGGAGTCATTTAAAGGTGAACAAGATCACTAAAAGAAGCATACAACTTAAGTCTTCTGGTTTTTCCCCAGAGGTTTCACTTCTGTTTACTTGTTTACTTCTAATTTTTCAAGCTAAAGCAAGCACAGTTAACTTTAACTTGTATTAACTGAATATACAAGACAAGATTCTGCCTCAATCTGTGCGCTGACTTGAGGGGCACCTGCTTCCTTCCCTGCAGTAGTATGTCATACCACCACATTCAGTATACATTGAGAAAGCATGAGTTGAATGGCTCTGTAGATTCTGCAAGTGCAGGACAGGGTAGGAAGGGTGATGAGGGTGCTTATCTTTCTTCCACCCCCTAAATGCACATAGCAGTCTAATTACACTGGTATATTGGAGATAGACCCACTGTTTTATCAGTCACCAGTGAAAGACTAGGGAGAGTTTTTTGGTATACCTGTGATAGAATCACTATCCCAGCAGCAGTAGCCTCCAACATAACACATTGCACTGATCTAGCTGGGTTGTCTCTTAAACCAGAGATAGGGTAGCTGCCTCACATGGCATTTCAGCTTGTCTCATTAGCGTTGTCACTTAGCAGTACTAATTAGCCCACCTCCAAGCTAACTAGCCCACTCATACAGATGTATGCTGCTTCTGGCTTACAAAGCAGCCTGCACAGAGCAGGGACACTCCAGATGGTCATTTTACTATATCGGCGATATCAGCCTTTTACACTTCTATTTGTAGTTACCATCCTGGGCTAGTCCGTGGGCATACAGCTATGCCCTCCTTGCCCATGCAGGGTCAGCTGATAGCAGATTGCAAACTGACAACCCTGCCCATGATTATTGAAATGAATGCTGGCATCTTTATTTCAAAGTACAGGTATCAAAATGTATAACTTGCTGATGACTACGTGTGAGTATATTTCTTATGCACTCTCATGTATTTGCTGATTTAGAGCATCTTTGTTTCTCAAACCTGTCTCTACCAAACTTCTCAAAACATAAATTCTTTAATGAGAACAGCAAATACGACAATGTGCAGCTTGTTAAAAAATCTAATTTTTAAGTGTGTGTGTGTGTGTGTGTGTGTGTATAAGAATTTTCTGAAGTGTCCAAAAGGTAATTACTTTCCAGAAATGCTGTAAAGACTAGGTTGAATTTTCATAAGTTTCCTGAAAATATTCACATTGTGCTTAAGAAAAAATATGAGCTATTTTATCCCCAAATCTATGTGCTTTGAAGGAGGTAAGCATTAATAACATAGGAAAGGGAAAGA